AGGCTTCTGCGAAACGCGCTCAAACTTTTACCACACCCTACACGGGGCATATGAAGACACTGTGCTGGGTCCCGAGGATTTCCGGCATCGTATGATTTTCCACAGATTTTTACGTCTTGATCTGGCATGCCACGAAGGTACATTCGCCCCCCCCCCCCCGGTTGTGGGGCTCCTCCTTCTTTGGTTGCACTAGGCCAATGCATGCTGCAAAGACATCATATATTATTTTACAAACCACTTCTGGACATCATTTTAGGTGGCCATCGTGCAGATCTACAATTCCCCACATTGAAACCCTACGGATGCAGTAAATGTCTCAAAATAATCCAGGCGGGCCCGAAAAATGCCATGTCCTGGCACGTGTCATGAAATGGCCCCCTTTGAGAGCATGAGAATTTTTGAGGTCAACGGAGCAACAGGCAGCGCAGTTCCTTCACAAACCGAAACATTCTCTCTCTATAGCAATATACTAACTCGAAGATGGTGCAGTTTACAAGTGGCTGGATCCGGCATGCCGCTGTGATCCTCCTCTCCCCTCTCAGATCGCCGGCAGCCGGGTCCGCCGGACCTCGTCCTGCCGCGTCCATCCATGCGTCATGATCCGCTCCTTCCGTCCACCCACAACCCTACCTCGTGGCTAGAGTTTCGGTGGCCTCCACCTCTAGCGCTGCTCCGATGGTGGCGAGGCCAGAGGACACCAGACCCTTCACTGGCGTGGACGCGGTTAGCACTTGCCCTCCTTCAGCGGTCCAAGAGAGTAAAAAAATTTAGAAAAAAAGGGAGAACACAATTGCATTAGCTTGATTCCTATTTTGGTGGAAACGTTTGTGCCACGGATCGATGACGTGGCACATATCCATCCATCTAGCTCTCCACCCCACATCCATCCATCTAGAGAAAAGGAGAAAAAAAGAGCCCACAAGATAGAGCCCACCCAACTCCACTGAACGCCTCCTCCCTCTCTGTCTCGCGACCTCGCTCCTCTCTCCCCCACGAACCCCCTCTCCCTCGCTGCCGCCACCACCCACGCCGGCCTATTTCGGTGAGCTCCGGCGACGGGAAGCACTCCCCCCGAGCTCCCCAAGATCCACGCCTCCTTCCCCTCCGTCCAGAATCGGCGCTCCCGCCCTCCATCGTCCCCTGTGCTAGCTAGGGCTTCGGCCACCACCTCACCTCCGGCGACGGCGAGGCCAGCGGGCGGCGGGGCAGGCACCAGCGAGCTCCCAAGCCCCTCTCTCTCGATCTCGAGCCCCTCTCTCTCAATCCCCAGCCCCTCTCTCTCGATCCCGAGCCCCTATCTCTCGATCCCCTTCTCTCTTTCGTTGCCTCACATCACCGCCTCGGTCGCCGACCGATTCCAGCCTACTCCGGCGAGCTCTCTCGCTGAGCTAGCTACCCAGGGCTCCCCGTTGAGCCGCTCTACCTCCTCCACTCATTCGATTCGCTTCTCCGTGCCGCCCGTGGTCGCCCCCATCGGTTCTCCCTCTCCAGGGTTTCGGTGGTGGGGAGAGGTTTGTCGTCGATATGTTCTTGCTCGTGGATCTAGTCGCCTGCGCCACCTCCCGTGCCTCCTTGTGCACCAGCGCCTCCTGGGTTTTGCCTGTGGTGCTACTGCCCCAGATCCGTCATCCTCGACTACCTTATCGCCTGCCACCGTGCGACGGCGGTGATTTGGCCACACCGCAACCATGGTGGTGGCGTTGCTTATGGTAAGCTCCTCAATCCCTCTGCTCCCCTGCGCGTACTACTCTCTTCGGGCATGTCATGGTCGATTTGATGCTCCTCCGCGTGTCCTGTTAGTGCTTGGTGAAGGTTGGCTCACCTATTATTTGCTCAATTGATTACTGTGCTATCTTTATGGATTTGGCAATGTGGACTTTGGTCTACTTATGCTCCTGCTGCTTTACATGTTCATATTCTAGTTCTAGTTCATGTCTATGGACTGATTACAAGAAATTCTATGCTACTGTGGGTCTATCACTGCAGTTATCTTGGTCTTATAGATGTTATTGTTCCTGTCATATAGCACATGCTAGTTTCTTTATTAGTTGGCTGCTGGTTCTATTTATTCATATGTACAAGTGCTACTGTTTCTTTGTTATCTTATAAAGGATATAGTCCTTCATTTGTATATAGATGTAACTTTCTTATTGATCAACATATACTGATTCATCTCTTTACTGCAATTACTCTGTAGTTCATGATTTGCTCCTATAGTGGTATAAAATTATAGTTTCTCTTTCAAGCTGGTATGTGTGTTTTATATATACTAGTCTTTATCTAAATACCATGTATTGGTATTTCTTGTATGGTTTAGTACATCATCTACTAGTGGTTTAGTTGTATATTGTACACGATATAGTCCTCATGGTTGCATGTAGTGTTAACTCTTTCTTTGCTTTAGCTATTTCAGATGTTTCAGATGATTTAGATGCATGCTTATACTCTATCTATACCAGGTCCATGTGTTGTGCTTGTGTACCTATATACAGAATAGTACCCATGTGTAAGTGGGTGTATGTGTTCTGCACTTCTGCTTACGGTAGATGTTTAGGAAATGTGCTATCAATGGCCTATTTATTCTTGCAGGTTATGGACTGTATCTTTTCTTGCCAATTCCCTCTCTCTTAAATCTGATTTGAACAGATGCTACACTGGTCTCTTCACTTTCTTTCTCTCTCTCATACTCTCACTGATAAGAACAGGTGCTCCTTAATCTTGCCATGCCAATGATGGTGTCCTGAGGCTCTCACCGTTACTTAACAGCAGTTGCTGCAGTACTTGATCCAATGATGCAATAGTCCTAGCACTACTAGGTTTCCTGAGGACAATCCCTACTTCAAACCCTACCTCTGGGTTAGTTGGTTAGTAGTGGGTTAGTTGGATTTCATCTGAAAACTAACCCAAGCTTAATCGAGGGATCCCCCAATCATGGAGTTAGTGCTAATTTGAGTTGATCTTTGGGTTTAGCTTTGATCTATACTTTGCTGGCTTTACTTCTCTATTGGGTTATTCCTTACTGCCAATTGAACCTGTTCCTTTTGGCCTTGCTGGTTACTGTTCCATTGGCTCCATTTATGCAGTGTTGGCTCTCTTCTAATGTTTCTTTTATCAACTTAATCTGATTGGGGTTTGACTAATGTTTCCAAACTCCTAAGTGCTAGCTCCTACAGCAAAGGCATTTCCCTAAGGGGAATGCTACATTTTAACCTTACTCAAGTTTTTCCTATTTGTTGTTTCTTGTTTTGTAGGTTGATGAACTAGAAGAAAGAAGCAGAAGATGAAGTAGATAGTTTAGTATAGGTTTAGTTTAGGACTTTTCCTTTCTTCTTATATTTCCTTTTCCTCTAAGTGTAATTCCTGAATGCTTGTAGTTGACATTCATATTAATACAAGTCTATTGTTTATTATTCAGGCCAAATAATTGCAATGCTTCATTTATTATGAATATAGTTTCTTTTATTCAGTTTTTGCAATATCACTTGTCTTGTTTATTCATGAATATATGGTTGCATCTATGCCTACAGCAAAGCCGTCGGCATAAATGCCATGTGGTAGCTCCTGGCCGAGGACTATGCCTACGGCTTTGCCGTAGGCATAGCCCTGCCACCAGGATGCACACCGGAGCGACACGTGGCAGAGGTATGCCGACGGCTTTGCCGTCGGCATACCTCTGCCACATTTCGTCCCCTGGTTCGTCAGCGCTTTTGACGGCGCCGTCCGTTGCCGTCAGGTGGAAAACACTGCCGACGGCTAAACTATGCCGACGACTGGCCCACGGCCGTCGACATAGGCCCCTATGCCGACGGCTATACTACGTCGACGGTCTGACACATCTACGCTGACGTGATCTACGCCGACGGGGCTATGCCGACGGCAGCTGTAGGCATAGATCTATACTGACGGCAAATGACCTATGCCGACGGCCCTTGGCTGTAGGCATAGGCCGCGAGTCCGGTAGTGATTGAACGATGTAATGTCTTTTTCCATTGGTTTGGAATAATAATAGTGAGTGATAAAGCGAGCTGTTCTCTATATGGCTGTACATCATGTTGTTAGCATTGTCTGTCTGTGATTGCACTAGTTGGGTTGAATTCTGAGGTGAATTGGTATCTACTTTTTTGATAATGAAATTATGGGACATTGTTAGCCCTCCTGTTGTCTGTCACCTGGGGCTTTTCATCTCATCTCATCCTTTGTTAAGTTTGTGTTAGGTATGAAGAAAAAGAAGGTTGTATATTTGTTCCATATCAATCTCGACAACCGATGCTTGAAATCTGGACACAATGCTCCATCATAAGTACAAGGACTTAATACTTCTGCCCTACAGACCTCCGTAAGTCCTTTTCCTCAGTGGTAATTTCGCATTTTTATGCACCTAGTCCCATGTGTTTACATTCATTTGTTCACGTTTATGCATTGACCATTTGTTCATTGTGATCGTTCCTTCTTAGTCCAAGGTATTTTTATCTTGATTCCCAGAGAACAACAAAGCGGGACTACATGATACCACACCAGTTTTGGATTCCATTTTTTTAGTTTTTAGGTTCATGGGAGAAATTAGTAGATAAAAAGAGACAAATATAACACCATTTCAAGCACCATTGCAGACAACAACCCAAATGAAGTGTCACATGTGGATACTACACCTAAGCAAATATAAGTATAAACACTACTTGTATTCTACAAGCTACCTACAATATAGTTATATTTTTGCATTCTTAGAAATTGGCAAGCGAACAAAAAGAGAAATATCAAGAACACAGGACACCAATTTTTACATGGAAAACCCTTGCGGGAAAAACCACAGGCACACGATGGTTATCTTTCATTGCATAAGGAGTGTCTAAAAATACGTAGACTTATAATAAGCCATCAACCCATCCCATGTTGAAATACATGGGGTATATATAGGTGGCATATGGGTGACTCAAGTCAAAAGTGGAAACATTTTATCGACCTCCACCATGATAGACCCTGGCTTCTCACTAGAATTTGGATCATACATCAACATGCATCGCTTGCTGTAATGTAAGTGCGCTGAAAGGCACGGGACTTGGACTAGAACAAGGTTGCTGGATGAGCGTTTGGTATGCCTCCCGCATGGTTGGCCTTGCTTGTGGAGAAGATTCCAAGAAAGAGAAGGCCAGGTTGACGAGCAGAGCTAAGCTCTTCTCTTCTGTTGTTGTTGGTGTCATCGACCGCTGGTCTAGAATATCTTTCACCAACATAGCTTCTTCCCCACTCGACAAACTACCGTCTAGGAGATCCCTTGGATGCTTGCCCATCACTAGCTCTAGCACAACAACGCCAAAACTATAGACATCACATTTCTCTGTCACAACAGATGTGTATGACAGTTCTGCACAAAATCAAGTCACTGGAATCAGGAACAAATGGATAGAGATGAATACATTTGATGTGAGAAACAAGGTTATACTCATACATACCAGGAGCCATATAGCCGTATGTTCCTGCGAATGCGCTCCAGTTTGATGAATCGGGCTTAAGAATCCTTGCCGTGCTGAAATCCGAGACAAAAGCCTTGAAGGATGTATCAAGCAATATGTTGTTGCTTTTGATATCTCGATGGATTATAGGTGGACTGCATTCGTGGTGCAAATATAATATTGCTTGAGTCACATCTGTTGCAAGAGCAATTCTCTTAGTCCAATCTAATTCCTTTGCTACCTCCTGATTTTCCAATATTCCATGGAGGCTTCCCTGCTGAATGTAATCGTAGACGAGAAATTTATATGCTGGATGGGAGCAGAATCCATACATTTTGACAATGCTTCGTTGTCGGATCTGTGTTAAGATTTCCATTTCACTACGAAATCTTCTTCCATCATCCAACTCTTCTTCGTTCTGATGAAGCTTCTTAACAGCAACCAGCTGCCCGTCTTGGAGTTGTGCCTTGTTCGAGGGCAAAGGACTCGCACAGAAAAGGGACCGAAGGGACCTCTGTTGCCAATGTGGTGCAGAAGAACTTCAACCCTCACAAGCCCAAGGGGAAGACTGGTGTCCAACAGAATACCGAGTTTAAAAAGAAGGGCAAGAAGACCTTCAAGAAAGATAATAAGAAGGGTGGCTGTTTCACTTGTGGTTCAGATGAACATTGGCCTGCCAAGTGCCCAAACAAGTTTAAGAAGCCATGACAGGACTTCAAGACTGTCAACATGATTGTGATCAACGATGAGAGTGGGCCATCCGGGTACGGTAATTTGTTTACTGTATTTTCAGTTTGTCAGTATACCGATTGGTGGATTGGCACAGGTGCAAATATTCATGTGTGTGATGACATTTCATTGTTTTCTTCTTATCAGGCCACATGGAACGGGTCCGTACTGATGGGGAACGGCGCGAGTGCTTCGTTCATGGTGTTGGCACGGTCGATCTGAAGTTTACTTCGGGAAGGATCGTGCAACTGAAGAATGTGCAGCATGTCCCCGCCATCAAGAAGAATCTCGTTAGTGGTTCCCTTCTATGTAGAGAAGGGTTTAAATTGGTATTCGAGTCTAATAAAGTAGTTGTTACGAAATATGGACTATTTTTTGGAAAATGTTCTGAATGCGGAGGTCTATTCCGCTTTTCCCTCGTTGATTTTTGTAATAAAGTCGTGAACAATATTCATTCGAGTGTTAATGAAACAGAAGTTCGGCATTAACGTCTTTGTCACATTGGTTTTGGTAGTATGATGCGGTCGGAAAAATTGAATTTAATCCCAAGTTTCACTTTAGCCAAAGGTTCTAAGTGCCATTTGTGTGCGCAAACGAAGCAACCTCGCAAGCCCCATAAGGCTGCGGAGGAGAGACATGTGGCGCCGTCAGAACTCATACATTCTAATCTTTGTGAGATGAATGGTGTATTGACTAAAGGTGGAAAAAGATACTTCATGACACTGATAGATGATTCTACTAGATGTTGCTATGTATATCTTTTAAACCCTAAAGATGAGGCTCTACACTACTTTAAAATCTATAAGGCAGAAGTTGAGAATCAACTTGAAAAGAAAATAAAATGAGTTCGGTCAGATCGTGGTGGAGAGTATTTCTCTAATGAGTTTGATTCTTTCTGTGCGGAACACAGAATTATTCATGAGAGGACGCCTCCCTATTCACCTCAATCAAATGGGGTTGCCGAATGGAAAAACCGTACTCTAACAAATTTGGTTAATGCCATGTTAGATACATCGGGTTTATCCAAGGCATGGTGGGGGGGAGGCTATATTGACATCATGTCATGTCCTGAATAAAGTTCTAACAAAAGACAATGAGATCACTCCCTATGAACAATGGGAAAAGAGAAGAACGATACTCTCATACTTACGTACTTGGGGCTGCTTGGCGAAAGTCAATGTGCCAATCCCCAAAAAGCGTAAGCTTGGACCAAAGACCGTGAACTGCATTAATTTGGGCTACGCTAAGAATAGCGTCGGCTATAGATTTCTGGTAGTGAAATCTGAGGTACCTGACGTGAAGGTCGGTACGATTATGGAGTCTAAAGATGCTACATTCTTTGAGGATATTTTTCCTATGAGAGATATGCAAAGCACTTCTAGGCTGGAATCTGATGAGACTCCTGAACCTGCCATTCTGATGGAGTATTATGAACAAACACATGATGGAAATACCGAGGAGGATGACAAGGAAACCATTGGTAGGCGCAAGAGATAGAGGACTACAAAATCTTTTGGTGATGATTTCCTTGTATACCTTGTGGATGATACTCCCACTTCTATTTTAGAAGCTTATGCGTCTCCGGATGCTGACTACTAGAAAGAAGCGGTCCGTAGCGAGATGGACTCCATCATGGCTAACGGGACACGGGAAATCACTGAACGCCCCTATGGCTGTAAACCATTGGGTTGTAAATGGGTGTTCAAAAACAAGCTTAGGCCCGATGGTACGATTGAAAAGTACAAGGCTAGGCTTGTGGCCAAGGGCTATCATCAGAAAGAAGAGGAAGATTACCGTGATGTTTACGTAGAAATTATCAAGGGTATATTTTTAAGAACTTATTATGGTGTTGGATGTAAGTTATCATGTCTATGTATCGTGAATTATCATTGGTCAAAGTTACCGCGGTGTTTGTGCGTTTATTATCGGATATGCAATTCATATTTTATCGTGCTATTTTCACATAAATTACCTGGGGTACGGTTTTCAACAACTTTTTTTAATCGTTGGTCAAATATACCGCGGTGTTTGTGCGTTAATTATCGGGGTATGCGGTTCGTATATTATTGAGATATTTTCACATAAGTTATCAGGGGCGGGGGAGGGTATTTTCAACAAACTTTTACCACATTGGTCAAAGTTACCATGTTGTTTGTATGTAAGTTATCGAGTTGGATGGTGCTATTTTCACATAAGTTATCGAGGGTATGTTTTTCAACAACTTTTCTCCTGAGTCAAAGCTATCATGGTGTTTGTAAGTAAGTTTGAGTCCGCGATGCTTAAAATATCATGTTATTTACACAAAAATTACCTGGGGATGTTTCATCAACTTTTTTCACACTGGTTACAAAGTTACCATGGTGTTTTGGACATAAGTTATCATGTCTGTGATGGGTATATCCCATGCTATTTATAAAAATTTATCAAGGGTATGTTTCAACAAAAAAAATCTCGGATCCAAATTACCATGGTGTGTTCACCTAAGTTATCAGGTATGCAGTGCATATATTACCATACTAGTTACACAGAAGTCACCGAGGGCATATTTTTTTTAAAAAAAATCGATGGTCAAAATTACCGTGGTGTTTGTACCTAAGTTATCAGGTATGCGGTGTGTATGCCACCATGCTATTTACATAGAAATTACCGGGGATCATTTTAACAATTTTCTACGCCATTGTCAAAGTTACCATGGTGTTTTCACCTAAGTTATAGGCCCTGTTTGGTTCGGCTGTTGATTTCTAAAAGCAGCTATGAAAAATCTGCTGTGGAAAAGATGCAAGTCATTTGGCAAACCAGCTGATACAGCCTTTTCAGATTTTGGCCCGCAGCGGAATTAGATTTTGGAAAGCACGTCCTGGGCTGCTTCCGCTTTTGGTTCAGATTTTGGCAGCGGATTTCTGAAATCAGATTCTATTGGGTTCGCCCTTTGGTTGAGATTCTGCTGCACGGCAGCGGAATCCATCGATAAAAGCTGAACCAAACAGGGCCATAATGTCTGTGGTGCATATATTACCATGCTACTTACACATAATTTATCGTGGGTATGTTTTCAGCAACTTTTTTCTTGGGTCCAGAATACAACGGTGTTTGCACCTAAGTTATCAGGTCTTCGGGGCACATATTACCGTGCTATTTACATAGAAGTCACTGGAGGTATGTTTTCAACATTGTTTTCCTCCGACTCAAAGTTATCGTGGTGTTTGTATGTAAGTTATATAGTTTGTAGTGCACATATTACCAATGCTATGTACACAAAAAATTATTGAGATTATGTTTTTCAACAAGTTTTTTTTCATCGGGTCAAAATTACCACGATGATGGTTAACAAGATCCAACAAGATAGATGATGTTCAGAACCAAGAAAGTAGTGTAATGTGGAGAAACTAATTTTCGTATAGCGCTGAATTTTATCTCTTAATTTCAACTGCCTAAATCATATAGAAACCAACATTTTCTATGTGAATATGAAATTGATATGACTGAACCTAAGTTTCCTATCTGAATTTCAACCAACTAAACTTCAAGCAACCTTGTAGCATTGTAAACATGTTGATTAATCTATCAAGCACCGTGCAAAAACAACTTTTACTTATTTAATACCTACAACTAGTACAGGAATTCAAACAACTGACATCTAAGCAAATTAGCAGCAGTTTCACTGCACCGTTTTCGTACACAAGCGGATAGTAGAAATTCTGGATCAAGAAACAGGGATGACATAGCCGGGTCTGCCGTTTGCTGGCTGTTTCACATCCGACCGGAGTGGGAGTGGCGCTTGCGCATAGGTCTCATCCATCGATGATGTGCACAACAGCTACTCTATTTTTCAGCGGCAAGTCACGAGATGGCCACCGCCGGCGTCGCCGATGAGCCATGCCGCTGCCAAATTCGTCGCGGCGCTGTCCAACGAGGAGACGACGAGCCTCCACGCCGCCGGTAACAACCGGCCGCCGAAGCAGGTCAGAAACCCAGCCGTCCCCCTCCTCCCTTCTATTCCCAGCCATTCCTCTCTGTTTCTTTCTTCTCTCCCTCGTCTCTTCCTCGCATGGACCGCCCTGGTCGACCTTAGCCCCGAGACAGAGCCCTTGCGCCGCCATTCGCCGCCGACGATTATCTCTGCCTGTCCTCGACCAAATCCAGCCGGCCCCGCGACGCCGTCCAGACCCAAGCCTTCCCCACTGGAAGTCGCCAGCGCCGTCGCATGCATCCTCGTTCAGAGGAGACGCGCGCCCGCATCGCCGCGTTGACCACTCTTCCACCGCTCGCGTCGACAGATCCGGTGGGGAAGGCGGGTGCGCGCGATCGAATCTAACGGTGCTGGATGCGTTAGGTAGTTTTTGCAATCTGCCACACGGTTGCCACATACATATTTCGTTCCTTTTATTATAATGTTGAAAAGGTTTCTTATATGTAATGGCAAAGGTGGGTATTTTTTCATTGGTTGGTGTTAAAGAAAAAAAAATCCTCCATCCAACGGTTATGTTTATTTTTCTATGAATTAAACGGCTAGATCTTTCTAATTATTGTGGTATTTTCTAGGAAATTCTCTATTTTCTGCTTAACCCTTCAAGTGCTTTATATATATAAATAGATTCCTGCCAAGAGCTCATCTGCAACGGTGGACTT